CCCCGCACAAACCCCGCACACCGCCCGGGGAGGCGGCGGCTCCCGCCCCGCCTGGGCCGCGTCCCTGCGGGGCTGTGCTCCGGCATCCCCCGCCCCGGCCCCGCGGGGAGGGGCCGCTACCCGCCGAGGGTGGGATGGGGATGTTCCCCTGGAGATTCGGGAGGGTTAAAATAGCGGCTGGTGACTGAAGATCCTCTCCATCACTTGTTCCTACAACCTGTGTCCGTGTCCCCAGGCTGAAGGAGAGACCAAGGGCGATAAGGCCAAAGTTAAGGATGAGGTAAGAAGTTCAGTTTTGAGAAAGTTGGATCATCAAGTGTTTCCGTTGGAAGATGAGGTTTAACATCATCAGAATAACTGGGGAGTCGGGGGGAGGGTTGGTCTCACTCGGTTCTGACTTTTCAAAGTCTTAACTGTTTTCTAACTATGAGAAACCTACTTTTAACCATGAAAAACCTACTCCACTATCCTGAGCTATTAGTAATTTCAATGGCATAACCTCATGTTTCTTGAGAACACAGAAAAAGGGAACTACCACCTTAATTTCTAAGAACTAAAGAACTATAAACATAATGGGGGTTTTACTACTTTGGGAAGAGAGCAAGTTTGTGAGATTTTGAGAGTTCATATTCCATGTCATTTCAATAGAACTGTTCTCCTTTTCCAACAGCCACAGCGGAGATCAGCGAGGTTATCTGCTGTGAGTATCCTCTTGCTGGACAGAGATGTCACAACGCTTGGTGGTTTTACACATGACCACTGGGTGTGTAAATGTGTGTCACAGCTGGAGGTGAAAATTAAGTTCCTGCCTTAAGGACCTGCCCCATTGTGTGGTGCTATGGGAGTGGTAAAATAATGGACAAACCAAATAACTGCTGCAGTTTCAAGTGTTCTTTACTTGCTTTCCTAAAACTCAGATATTTAGCCTGAGTATTTTTTTTAAAAAAAAGTAGTTTGTTTTTCTGGAGCAGGACTCATCACACAGGCCTGGACTGCCAGGACAAGGGGGAGGGGTTTCCCACTGCCAGAGGACTGGGATATTGAGAAGGAATTCCTGGTTGTGAGGGTGGCAGGCCCTGGATCCCTGGCAGTGCCCAAGGCCAGGCTGCACGGGTCTGGGAGCAGCTTGGGACGGTGGAAGTTGTCCCTGCCATGGCAGGGGTGGCACTGGAGGGACTTTAATGTTCTCCCAAGCCAAACCATTCCACGAGTCTCTAACACAGGTTTTCTCTCCCTTGCAGAAGCCCGCTCCTCCAAAGCCAGAGCCCAAACCTAAAAAAGCAGCTCCAAAGGTGAGTTGGGTCAGGGCTGTTTGGCTCATGGGTGATGAGGTTTGGCATTGTTGGCACTAACAACAACTAACAAACCTCTGGTTAACAGCTGTGTAGCAAGGAAATGGAGCTGCATAAAGCTGAACTGAAAACCTGCAGATTTTACAGAATTTGCATGAGAAATACCAAAGTGAAGGCTTCACTCTTGCTGTCAATCCCTTAACAAACAAACATGGGTGTGCTGTGTTCCTTTGGGGCCAGCACCCCTCGCTCAGGGGCTGTGGCTTGTGTTTGGCTGCTGGGAGCTGACAGCAAATGTTGTCTTGCATTTACAGAAGAGCGAGAAGGTGCCCAAGGGGAAGAAGGGAAAAGCTGATGCTGGCAAGGAGGGGAACAACCCTGCAGAAAATGGAGATGCCAAAACAGACCAGGTATCCCAGCAGCCTGACGTGCTCCAGGATTGATTCCTTTCCCTCTCAGACCAGGACAGCTCTTGTCCTGTGGCAACGCTTACAACACTTCACACAGATGGGGTTGTTGGTAAAGAGTTAAAGTTGTCTGTTTGCCAGGGGATGTTGCCACATGGAAGTTACTGTTCTTCTGTAAAGTTCTCAAAGCAACTTCCAAGTTGTGTTTGACAGCAGCACAGATGTTAAATTTAATTTTATTAACAATCAGAGCTGTGCAGCCCAGAGGGGATTTGTTGTGCTCAGGGTTTTGCTGTTTATAAAAATGAGTGTCCATTTGTTTAATGTGTTGACTTGTTCCCCTTTTTCTTTCCAGGCACAGAAAGCCGAAGGTGCTGGTGAAGCCAAGTAAAACGTGTGAATTTTTGATAACTGTGTACTTCTGGTGACTGTACAGTTTGAAATACTATTTTTTATCAAGTTTTATAACAATGCAGAATTTTGGTTTACTTTTTTTTAAGCTATGTTGTTAGCACACAGACCGCTTCGTTGTTGTGTTCTGGGGGGTGGGGGGACAATGGGGACAAATGTCATTTAGTCTATTTCTCAAAACCTTAATTTTAATAAGAAAAGCTTTTGCCAGTCCCCCAGTTTTTGGAAGAAGGGCCCTTCCTGCAGGGAGAGAGAAGGGATTCCCCCATGCTGCGTGTCAGTTATGTCCAGGTGAACATCAGAGCTCCCAAGATGCTGTTGCCTGCTCCAAATCCCAATGCCATCAGTTCTCCTTTGGTGTCTCCTTGTTTGCCCAGAGCCCGTCACTCCAAACCACAGCAGAACTGGCATTTTGGGACCTGCCACACACTCGTGAGCCGGATTTCTGGTGTCCAGTCTGGCTCAAAAAGGAGCTGCACTTCCTCTTTTCTATTGTGGATCCTCAGATACAGAAACCTGCCTTTAAATTTTATTTTCCTCTCAAAGTCAGGGTGGGTTTGTGCAGAGTTGTCAGACAACGTGCGGATGTGATCGTGTCCACCCTCACTCTAAACTTTGCCCTCTACAAGTGTGAGCTGAAGATTTTAATGGTTTTTAGCAACTTCTCCATTTCAGTAGTCCACAAAGGGAGGGGAGTTTGACAGTTGTTGTAAAATGTTGCAGATTGTAGCCCATGTCCTGCCTAAATTACCATGATTGTTCATGAAAAGTACCTTTAATAAAGCTGGATACGGTTTGGCTTGGACTGTTCTTGATGCTCTCTAATTTCTCTTGCCTTTAGTTCACTTCATGTGGTTTAAGAACATTTGCTGTGTGCATGTCTGTGTTTGTGTTTTCATTCAGATAATTAATTGTAATTTACACCTGAAAAGCGAGATTTCCTTACCTAAAAGCGAGGTTTCCTTGCCTAAAAGCTAAATCCCTGCAGGATGTTTTTAAAGTCTTGGCTTACTTGGAGGCTGAAAATGGAACATGTAAGTGAATCTGTTGAGATAAATTATCTTTATTTTCTAAAATGTAGCACCATACAAAACAGGGAGGAATACAGTGATCTTGCAGAGAAAAGTCAATTCTGGTGAGCTTTTCTTGGGAGTGAAACCAGAACTGGCTCCATAAAACTGATGATGTGTTACATTTCTGCACTTAAACTTGAATATTGTTGCTCCTGCTAATCGAATCCAGACCTGGCTGGGGTAGTGACTAAGCAGGAGACGAGATTTTTTTGGAGTAAAAATGCACCATTTTTGTAGTTGCTCCTTAGACTCCAGAGCAGAGCCAAACCCAAACCCCCCTGTGGAAACGTCTCCTTCAGTGACTGTCAGATGGAATATTTTTTTCCATCTTTTTTTGGCTTTCCCTGGGATTTCAGTGTCTGTTTGTGATTAAGTTCAGTGACCTGTTTCAACCTGTGCTGATTTCAGAGGGAATCCAGTGAAAACGAGCAGGGCAGAGTTTCACATCCAGAAATTTCCGATGTCAGGAGCGCTGGAAGCGTTCTGCACGCACAAAAAAGGCGGTTTGGGATGTACCCCTAGGAACTGCTCTGTTCCCATAGCTGGTATGTCTCACAGAAAACAAATCATGTTGAATAATCCTGTTTAATAATCTTCATTAAACCCCACCCAGAAACAGCCACCAAACCCCTGGGGTGGCCGGGCAGTGAGATGTGGAAAAGAAAATCATCATTAAATCTTAAAATCAGCAAGTTGGAAATAGCCTACCTTGCTTTTGTACAGTCTTAACCATCTACAAGTGAACAAATGCTTCCAAAGGAACTGGGTTTGAAGGGGTTGCCAGTGGCCAAGGTGCCAGCTGGAATGTTCTGAAATTGCCTGTGTCCATGGCTGGCTGGGTGACCTCTTCACCCTCGTCATTAAACATTAATGTTTATTAATAACATAATTAAACAAAAAAGTGCTGCTAACAAAGGGGATCTCAGGGCTGCTCTTTATTAAAGAAGTTAAGGAGTAACTTTTCCATCTTTCCACCCCTCAGCAGCCTGTGTGGTTCCTTGCAGGATGTTTTCTTCAGGAAAGTGTGAAAATAGTGATTTTAAGCAGTGTTTGCCACCTGAATTCCTCTGAAAGCAATGGATATTTTCAGTGTTGGGATTCCAGGGCTTGCTCCATCTGAGGTGCTTCCACTGGATGTGCCCTGCACTGCTGGAGTTATTGGTCTGTTGGGCTGGACTCGTCAAGGCAGGGCTCATCTATTTCTCCTTAAGCAAACAGAGGGTGAGGGATGCTGAAGCCAGTAAACCCAACTAATTAGCTGTGTAAATTAAAGCTGGGGAGCAGGCACTGAGCTGCAGCCCGTGGTTAGATGCACCACAAATCTGCATCGCTGCCTGCCAGAATGCCTGAAGCTGAGCAGACACTTCTCTGCTAAATTGTAATCATTTGACATGGAAAATTGTCTCTTGTGTATCTGTTGGGAATGGGATCTGTGCTGCCAGGTGCAGTTAACAGGCTGGGCTCTGCAGCAGCGGATTTTGTCCATCACATCCAGAGTCCAGAAAGTCACCACTGGTAACAGAAAGGCGAATGAGTTCTGTGCTCCACGGCAGGCCTTGAAGCTGGGCACCAGAATGGCTTCAGTCCATGCAATATTAGGGCTCTGCCACTAAATTGTTTCTCTAGTTATTAATTTCAGCACAAGTCACCTGGGAAATAGGCCCAAACTGCTGTTATCATTTATTTGCCTCTTAATTGGTGAAGGTCCAAAGAATGGCCAAGTTCTGCACAGGGCTGAAGCCTTTGGGATGCTGGAAGTGGATACTGGGATGAGCCTTGTTTTCCCAACACTTCAGGATTTTGCTGGGGTTTTAAGAACTGAAATTAGTGATAAATTACAGAGCAAAGTCTCTGGACTCCCCCCAAAAGCAGTGACAATTAAACTGAGCAGAAGTTAATGTGAGCAAGTGTTCACTTCCCAATATCCTACAGAACATTTCCCCCAGCCATGGTTTATGTTAAACTGGACGTGGATTGGGCTAAAACCCCTGAGAACAGGTGAGCTGGAGAATTCCCCAGGGCTCCCCTGGGATTAACAGTTTTTGATTTCAGAATCATTTCCCCCTGCAGCAGTTTTCCTTTTCCCTTCACAGAGCTCAATCCTGTTTGGAAGAAGCCACAATATCCTCCTCCCATCCCCAAGCCCTGCCACGGGTGGGCTGAAAGGGAACAAGGAAGGAAAATGGACTGAATTCAGTGAGTGCATCCAGAGGATATTGAGCTGCAGGATCATTTGTGTCAGAAGAATCACACAGCTTGATGGCACAGGGATTTCATTGTCCCTAAATCATCTCAGATATGGTAATACCATACCCAGGGACTAATATTGCTGACTATAATTCCTGAGAAATGGCACCTTCTCCTGTAGCTGGTGGAGATGAAATGGAGGGTGAGTTAAACTCACAATTTACAGAGTGTGCTCATCATTTGTAAGGGATGGGAAGGAGATGGCACAGAGGGAGCTGTGGTTGAGTAAAGTTGATTGAGGCTAATAAAGATCTTTAGTAAGTTCACTTTAGAAGATTTCTGATATGAAAGACTGGGCTTTTTAAAGACCTTTTATTAAAACTATTCTGTCACTTTTTTTTTTTTTTTTTAATATATTTTAACCATTTCCTTACAAGGGGAGCCAGAAAATCTATGGTGTGACACAAGAAATAGGAGTAGAAAATTTCAGGGAAAACTTCCTAAATGTGAGACCTTTTAAAATGCATTAAAGCCTCCTAAAAAAATTACTTCATTGCCTTGGGTACAACAAACCAACCTGGAGAAAGAACATAGGAGCAGTCCCAGGATGGCTGAAGATGGCCCAGGTGTGGAGTAGGTACCACCACTTTCTGCATTTTGCTGGACACATAAACCCCACAGGAAATTTCTGTTTTTCCCCTTCTAAAGAGATTTGACAGTAGATTTAACTTTTTCTCACTCAACCATCCCACTGAGATTACTCTTGGATTTTGAACAAATTTCCCTGCAGGCAGCAGAGCTCTGCCCTGCTCTGGAGTTTGTTGGTTGCTGTGCAGAGGTGGGTGGATCTGGCAGTCTCCTCCTGGAGAGGAGTTACTATTAGATTACTATTAATCTGGTTCCTCTGGATTAGTGTTTCAGCATTGCCCAGACAGCTTTTGTTTGCTTTTATTCTAATGAAGTGGTGTCTTGGTGCTTCTTGTTGGAATTCAGTCTTACCTCAGCACAAGATCTGAACATTCCTGTGTTAGGGTTCTGAGTTTAGCCTGAGGACTGATTGTAAACTTGGGCAATTAAATTAGCTTTTCTCATCATTTCCTTCTGACTGGGGATAAAAGCAGAGGTGGTTCCTGTGCTGGGGGTGTTTGGTGGATGGGTTTTGTTGGCCTGCAGCCCGGCTGGAGGTGCCCATCTTTCCCTGCCATTCCATGATCCAATTCACTTCCACGCTGCCAAGCCCCACAGAGAAAAATTCCCTCCATACCGAATTAATTTCTCTTGCAAAAAAATATCCAGGATTTATTTCAGAGGCGAGCTGGATCTGAGGCAGGGGAAGGCTGGATTTGGCAACCTCCCGGTGCCTCCTTGCCACAGCCCGGTGGAGCGGGGATTTGCGCGGGGCTGTTTAGCTCATTAACACGCTGTGATTAACAGCCTGTTCCTTCCCTTGGCCACACGGTGGTACCAGGAAACACGGAATGGGGCTGGGAGGCCAACAAGTGGCAGGTAAGGTGCAAAAACGGCTCAGCAAACCTGGGAGGCGGCAGCCCGGGCTCTCACAGCCTAATTAATGAGCTTAATGAGCTGCAAAAGCAGCTCTGCCCCAGCAACCTCCAGCCTCTGCCACCCTCAGAGACCAAAACTCCATTCCCTCCAGCACTGTGAGCCCTCTCTGAGCCTCCCTTTCCAGCTTTTGTTATGGTTTTACTCGAAATCCAGACTGACTGCTCAATTCCTCATCGGTTTACAGGCATAGCTGACACTGAAAAGGAATTTATCCATGTTACATCAAGCCTTTGAACTTAGGCTTCCCATGGTCTATTTTAAGAATCGCTGGACCATTCCTTTTCCTCCTCAGGCCATTATTGCAGCTGCTGTGGCACATGTCCTGAAAGTCTGAGCCTAAAACTAGAGCTGCCACTCTCCATCTCATCTGTCCTCAGCTTGGGAAGGGATACTTCATGCTAAACCCAGATTTAAATAAGCAGCCTATAAGCCTAGTCTCTTTTAGGTTTATTGGCACAAACATCTTCTATCAGACTTCAAGCTGAGGTCACAGAATAAATGGTGATGTTGAAAGAAATCATACTCTAGTTATTGAAAAGTTTCCTGCGCTTTTTGTGTTATTTCATTTTGCTTTTGTGTTCCAGTACTGGAGTGTGTGCTTTTGCTCTGCAACCCAAATCTAGGAAATTGAGCTGTAACATCTGTGTTAAGCTCCTTAAAAGTTTAGCCAGAGTGATTTTTCTGATGCTGTGAAACTCTGGGCTCACTTTGCCAGCCAGCAACTTTTACCTGCATTGTATTGAAGACTCCCAGAATGATATCCTGTATTGTGCTGAAGCAATGCTTCCAGCTGCTGGTTTTCCTTCACCTTTCCCATTCTCAAAAGCCTCAGCCATTGGGCTATCTCCTCTAGCACATGCTTTCCATGTTTATCTTTTCCAAGGATGGTGTTGAAAGCTGGGAAGGAAGCGGCTGCTTCCCAGAGCTGGCAAGATTGCAGGGAAAGCACTTTACACCTTCTTGACACTTCCTTGAAATGGATGC